GTCTGCTTGTTCAGGCGGGGAGTGGGGACCTGGACCCCATTTCTAGGATTCAGGGGCCAGCCCTTCTGTCCAGCCCAAGCCACAAGCCAGCTCCCCTCTCTGCTCTAGCTCCAGGCAAGGACTTGGAGCTCTGTGGCCATGGACCTGGCTTGGAATGATGACTCACCTCCCTCCCTAGGTGGCTGGGGACCTGGCCCTGTGTGGCCCAGAATTGGTAATTCAGCCCAGACTGCTCAACTTCATTTCCACTGGGGAAATTATGTGCCACTGGATCTGACATATGAAGTGTTGCCCAGAGTGACCCAAGGTCTCCAGGCCAAGCCCACCTGTCCTTGTTTATGTCTCCTCTGGTGGCGGGGACATTTATGGTGTTGACTGAGGTTGTTCAGCAAACATTCATGGTCACTGCAGCCCAGCTGAGCCTGGAGACAGGTCTTCCTGTCCCAGGAAAGCCCGGGAGGGGGTGCCAGGCAGGACGGTACTCTGAATGCCAACCTGACTTATCAAATGGGTACAATACATATTCAAGCATGTTTTGGAAGTGGAGTGGGGGGCACCCAAGGGCAGACACCCCCACCCACTGTGTGACGCAGGCCAGTTCACTTCCCTCTCTGAGCCTCAGCTTCCTCATTTGCAAAATAAGACTGGAAGACCAGCCCTGCTAAGTCTATGACCTGGAGCACCCCACCCCCCCTCCACTTTCCTGCCCACCCCAATCATTAATATAGTTGGCAGAGTGTTGGGGCACTCTCTCTCCGAGGCCTGGCTGGCATGGAGTGGCATAGTTTAAGGGCTATGGGAGAGGGTGGGAACAACTATATTTGAGGGCGGGGTCTTTGGGGAACTTTCCAGTGTAGGGAGCAGAGGGGGGTTGGGAGAGCCTAACCTGGCAGGCGCTTAGGCAGTTCCGTCTGCTGCTTCTGTCAATATGAGCCTTCCTGTTTTGGAGATTAAACCTAGGCTGAGCAAACAGCTTCAAGGAGGCCCCTCCCTGCCACCTCCCCTGCAGCCGGGGTCCTGTGCTGGAGGCACCTGGGGGCTGTGGGGGTGGCAGGGACAGAGGGGTCCCAGCTCTGCCACTCCTGCCTTCAACAAGCCCTAGACCACAGTCCAGGCAGCTCGGCCACTGCCCCAGCCCCCACTGACCCCCACCGAGGTCGCCCCCGGAAGCCCCCCGGGTAATCCTTCCGCTCAGGGCGGGTGCGCTGTCCCCGTGGCTCTGCCCGCCGCATCCTCTGCCCTCGTGTAACCTCCTGCAGGAAGCCGGGAGCAGGCTGATCCTCACCACCTCCTCCTCGCTGGGCCCATGCCCACCTGGTGTGGATTCCAGGCATGCCAGGACCCCTGAGCAGCCCACTGATCTCATGTCTGGGGAGAGACCCATCACCTCACTGGTGAATTTTCACCTCAACATTGTGGGTTGGTAAAGCCTTTGCTTAGGGCCTGGCTTGTGCACACAGCAGGACATTTGTTGTCAACCCTGGATTCTAGTACACCCTGGTTGGCACTAGTAGTGTGTGTCTCCCCAGGGTATGAAAACCAAAAATTGTCTCCATGCATTGCCAACTATGTCCTGGGGCCTCAAACCACCCCCAGCTGAGAACCCCTGGCTAGTCCCTTCAGACACTGGATGCTTACAGACCAGAGCCCCAGAGGCCTGAACCTCCTGCCGTTAGGGCCTCAGTCCAGGCGGTTTCATCCTCACTGTCCGCCCCCAACCCTTACATCCAGGGTCCACGCACCTCTGAGCAATCTGGCCCTGCTCTCATAGGCAAACCATGCCCAGGCTAAACTTTACTGTTGGCCGCACCTTCAAGGAAGGAAGGGAGGAAGGAAGGGAGGAAGGACAAAGGCAGAGTGATCCTTATGCTCCTCCCAGTTGCCTCCTTCCTCGGCACAAGCACCTAGGGGCCGAGGGGCAGACAGATAGACAGGCTTGGGTTGGTGCGTGCTACCTACGCTGGGCCTCAGAGTCACTTCTCCTTGTAAAATGCAGCTGGAACCACATCCTTCTTGCTCACAAATCTTCTGTGGCTTCCTAGTGTCTCCCTAGCGTGGGCCTGAGGCCCCTGCTCACTTTCATCTCCCACTGCATTTCTACTCCCACCCTGCGGAACACAACCTCTCCAGACACTCTGGCTGGGCTGTCTCTCCTTCCACCTCCCTGCCTTCCCATCACCCTGTGTCTGTCCACACCTTCACGCCACAGGGCAGGACTCACTGTCTTTTCCTGAAGCCTCTCCTGAAGCCACTAACCTCCAGCCCTGAATTAGATTCTCACATGAAATCCAGTGAATTGCCCAGCACCTAGGCCCCTGGCACACTTACAACTAAGCCCTCTTCAAGCCCACTACTCTTTGCCTGCTTGGGGGACTGCTGGATGGCTGATGAATCCTCTTCCAGAGCACTGTGAGCTTCTGAAGCGGGGGTTATATCCGCCTCCACCTAACTCCCCTAGAGCCAAACTGAGCCAAGGCTGGAGGAAATGTCTGGAACACTGGTGGACAAGGAGGTGGATGGATGGGCCTCATGGTGACGGCTTAGCTCTGTGGGCAGGAGTGGTACTCCTGGGCCCATAACCTCCACATTTCTTACTTCCTGGACAGCATAGCTGACCTCAACCTGTGAATGAAGGAGAGGTAGCACCCCAGGCTTTTGGGGTGGGGGTGGGCAGGCCAGCCAGGGTCTTGTGAGAGTGAAGACTCAGAGAGTCTTCCACTGGAGCCGCTCCTCAAACTGCTCCTTGGGTCTGCTCTCAATGATATGGTTGGGGTGTGGGGTCATGAATGGGGCAGGGGGTTATGCCTGGGGCCTGGCAGGCACCAGCACTGCCACACCCCACACCCTGTCCAACTGTGACCGCAGCACAAGCTAGCCATTCTTGCTAAGACAAAGGCCGGCTGGGGGGCAGGGTGGCTCTGGTGTCTCCTTAGTAGGCATCTGGCCTGTCAGGATGTCACTAAGTGGGTTCTGGTGGCTGGGGTCCGCTACTGGGGGCTGCAAATCAGATTAGTCCAGGCTAGCTCCGCAGGCCAGATGGCCCAGTGGGGCCACCCAAACTGCTGCAGCTGCCAGGTCTAGGCCTGCCACTCTCCTGTGTGCACAAACCTTGACCCCATGCCTGAGAGAGCCCTGCAGGCTTGTGGTGCCATCAGGGTTGTCCCTTCTACTCTTTGTTGTTCCACCTGTAAGACCAACAGTTTGAGTGAGACTTTCTGAGTCTGCCTGAGGTGGTGTTTGGAAATGCCTCAGGGCAAGTGGATCTAATGAGAATCCAATGTGGCACCAGCCTCTGCCACCCATCACAGCCTTGCCCACAGGCCCCATCCCCATACAGACTCAGAGCTGAGTGGATAGCCCTCCTTTGAGATCTCTATGAGTCAAGCCTGGTGCTTGAGGGAGGGAGGCAGCGGAGTATTCCCTTGAGTTTTTGCATGTCCATATAACCAAACATCTCCTCTGCTCATCAATTCACCCTTTCCTGAATCCAGCAAATGTTTCTTAAGCACTAATAAATGCCAGACCCTGTTCTAGGCACCGGGGCACAGCCATAAACAACTGTGCCTCTGCCCCTAGGCAGCTGGCACCCAGCGCCTTCTCAGCCCTCCATATACTCTCTCTCTGTCCCTTCATCTACCATTCATCTGTCCATAGTCACTCACCCAACTATCCATGCATCCATCCATTTGTTACCTCTCTCCCTCCTCCCTTCCCTCCCTCAAACTTCCACTCAACCCACCAGCCTCCTATCCATTCCCTTCTTCATCCGTTCAACCAGGATTTACTCTGTGCCAGGCCCTGATGAGGAGCAAAATGTGGCCCTGGACCCCACTGAGCTCCCAGGCTAGCTGGAGAGGCAGGCAGGGGACTGAGCAGTCACAATCTCATGTGTTCAACCATGGTGAGGAGTACCACAGGGAATTGGGGAGGACTTCCTAGGAGAAACAGCACTTGGCTGAAGCCTGGTTCAGGCTCCTAGGTTAGGCTGGACTCTAACAGTCCTGGCCTCTCTGACAATACCTGGCCCCATGGTTCAGGCAAAAGTGCCAGGCCATCAGGGCTCACTGGTGCTTTATGCCTACCTGGTACCAACTGTTTGCCAGCCTGGGGGCAGACAGACAGAGGAGCATCACCAGTGGTTTTACTTTTATAGAACAGCAAAATCTGGAGACCCACAAAGGGAAGGGAACTGGCCCAAGGCCAGAGTGTGTGGGCCAGGGAGTGCAGGGTTCTGGACAGAGTGGGCCTGCAGGTGGGTCAGGCTAGGCTAGGGGTTCTACTCACAGCTATGTTCTGTGAGACTGCCTATTCTTCTCTTGGGGGGCAATGCCCACCCCAGCTGCACTAGTGGGAATCAGCTGCTGTGCCTGCCGCCCCCACCCCCTTTCTTGCCTGGAGCCCAGCTGTGGTGATTTCTTGCCAACCCCTCTCTATTACTTTCTCTCCTGCCAGCAGTGACTCTTCATCCAGAAGCTTTGGGATAGGCCCCTGCCTGGACCACGGGGCGTGTCACCCACTTTCCCTTAGGAAGCCCACAGGCACCTGGTATCTAGGCGGCTTCCACATGCCAGTTCTCCTCTGCTGCCCTCAAGGTGGGCAGGCACTCTGGTGTCCCTCTGTTGGGCAGGACAGGGTGTGCTCAGTTCCACCTCCTGCTCCCACTTTGCAATGAAGTTGGGGGTGCCCCCCCGTAGGCTCTGCCTCGATTGCAGAATGCTGGTTCCTGAGACACTTGAGAGGCCATGGCCTCTCCTTGTGTGGGGGTGGTGTGTGTGTGTGTGTGTGTGTGTGTGTGTCCAGGCCTCGGTTGACTTCCTGCCAGTTAGTGGGTCACCCATTATGTCTTCTGGGTCTTCCAAGGGAAGCTGAGCCCCAGGCCACCAGCAGCCTGTGAGGAAGGGGTTTCTAGAGCCTAGTGGGACTGGCAAGGATAGGAGACCTGAGCACAAGTGGGGATACAACACTTCTGAGCCTGACAGGGGAGTTGGAAGAGGGCCCCCATGGCTGGTGGGTCACTGTGGCCCCTTTCCTTAGCTACCACTCAACCTTAATGGGCAGATCTCAAGCCATTCAACCACTAGGCTGCCCAGCAGCCCACAGGAGCTGTGCTAAGCAGAGGTCAGCTGCTCAGGTGGTGAAGAGACACGTGACCCTGGGCAACAGGCCAGGCTGTTACTGGTCTGACCAATTGCCCATGAACACCTTGTGAAATGGACAGTAATGTCATCCTTAGGATGAGAGTGGGGAAATTGAGGCTCAAGAGGAGGAATGTCACAGGTCCAAGGTCTTAAAGAAGTGGCCCTCTGGGGTGGCAAGGCAAGAACCTGCTGTGGAGGCCTTCAGCCCCTGGGCTGTGTCCATGTGGCCAGGCCTGGTGCTGGGCCCTGGTAAAGCCTCCATCCTTACTTCTCTTCCTGTGACCTTCAAGCCCTGAGGGACTTTTTGGGAAGCTTGGTCAGTTTCCTCACCCCCTCCTTAGCTCCCCATTTCCAGTCTTGGGCCCAGAACCTCCCCCACTCTGCTGTTTGGCTCAGTGGGTCCCTGGAGGGGCCTTTGGATCTAGAGGGAAAGAAGGGGAGTGCCTCAGGCTGTAGCTGAGAGTCTCTGGAAAGGGGCAGGGAGGGGGGGTGGGGGCAGCTAGGCTGGCCTCCCCCCTGCAGTTTTCAGACCTCAAGAAGTCACCACGAAATTCCATTCTCCTGACAGCAGAGAAATGGAATCACTCTTGCCAAAGCCCACGGCCCCCACAAAAATGCTGAAAGTCTTTGTCCTGCTGTTCCCAGACAGGGTCCCCTATTCCCATCAAGTCTGGCTGCAGAAGCACAGGAAACCCTTAACCAGGTTCTGTGCTATGCTTCTGCCAGGCTGGCCAATCCCTGTCCTGTCCTCCCTCCCTCCCTGAGTACAATGCTGTAGTCCTGTGAGCTTGACCTTGCTTTCTGTACAATGGGAACAGAGGGGACAGAACTCCTCCTGCTTTCTGTCTGGCAGCAGGAGGCCAGTAGACAGGTGTGTAGCATGAATCAGAGAAAGCAGGGGTGCTCTGGGTTGGGAGGCAGGTGGTCCTACCTGCTGGGCTGGGGGCCATGATAGGGGTGGCTCACAGGGACTTGTGGCATGGTTGCATAATGCTGTTCTTCCTTCTGCCTCTTACAAAAGGCTTGGCATCTGCAGGGTACCCACTAACTATGAATGCCACTGACCTGAATCTCAGGTATAGTGCACAGCTTAGGAAAAGAATTGGGGGCTCAACAGTGCTCAGACTATCAGGGTATGGAGTGGGATTTTGGAGAGCATCAGGAAATGGAGCTGAGACTAAGTCAAGAGGTCTGTGACACCAGGTCAGGACTTGAATTCAGAGGCAATGGGGACTCACAGATTTTGATCTGTGGCTGTGCCTGCGGGGTGGTGGATGAATGATTTCAAGTTGTCTGGATCTTGAGTGGAGCGTGAGTAGAGAGGCAGACTGGGAACAGGGAGACCGAGGCAGAGGCTGCTGTAGAGAACCAGAGGGAGATGAAGGCTGAGAAAGAGGTTCTGGCTCTGGCATGGCAAACAGGAGTTGGGGAAAGGGATGTGGGGGAGAGGAGTCCCTGGAGGCCTGAGATTGGGGTTACTGTAAGAGAGCTCTGTTAACTGGGCACCAGTTAGGGGGTGCTTTTCCCTCCTTCCTCCCACCCACCCCCCCCAGCTGCCTACAGGTTAGGAGGCTGGGCTCTAGCTTACGGGGGAGGGGTTTATGGTAGAAGGTGACACCATGGGAGACTTGTCACTTGGGCACAGCGAACACCATCTGCTCAGGCATCTGCCTGCCTGAGGTGGCCCTGCTAATTACCTGGGGGTGGGAACCGGAAGAGGTCTGGGAATCCCCATCCCCCTCTCCTGTTTATCAGAGGAGCTAATGGTAGGGTGCTAAGAGCAAATGGGCCAGTCTCTTGGGTGGGAGTCTTAGCAGGACCAGACGTTTATGCAATAAATTTTTATAGAGCACCAACTATACTCCAGGCTCCTCTGCAAGCTGGCATTCAGGTGGAGGGCGCGGACCAAGAAAGGACGCGTGCACAAGTAAAAGCGCCGTTGCAGGCGGAGTGAAAGGTGGCGCCGTAAGATAGCAGGCCAAACCCGGCGCAGAGCGCGTACTGGGGCGGAGGGTTGAGTACTCGGCGGACCTTCGGAGGGTATGCCAGAGTAGGAGCCCAGCCTGCAGGGGAAGGAGGAGCAGCCAAGCGGAGAGCCGCCCCCAGCTGCTCTGCCGGAAGATGCTGCGGGCAGGGGGCTCGGACCTTGATCCCTCTCCAGAGGGGAGGAGGAGGGGTGGGGGCTTGGCCACTTCCTGGCTCCACGCCCCTCACTCTCAACCCGGACTGTAGGCTCACATTCCTGCCGCCCCAGCTCGTGCTGGGGGCCGGCCCGGCCCGTGGGAAGGGCCGGGGGTGGGCGCCGCCGTGTGCCGGGGAGGCGGGGCGGGGCACAGCTGGGCTACATCTGGCCTCAGCGCTGAGAGAACAAATGGGACAGAAGGCGGCCTTTCATCCCGTGCGGGGAGGGGCGATCTCAGTTTTTTCTCACCACCCGGCGCCTGGAGAATTTTGGGGGCCAATCTTTCAAAGTCAGGCCGGGACTCAAGGAACTTTCTTTGGGGGTGGGGGGTGGATGGAATTTGGTACAGGGGTTTAGCTGCTGGAAACTCGTGTACTTAGCACAGGCTCAGGTGGCTAAGCTCCTCCTTCATATTTGTAACGGCTGCCTAGGGCCAGGTAGTCAGGTCCATCCAGGCACCACCCAGTTACCCGACCCACAAGCAACATCCTCGAGGGAGGAACGCGGCCTCAAGGAGACGCGCACAGCGAGGAAGTAAGGACGGACACTGCGGACGCGCTAGATCCTGAGGCCCGGGAACCGTAATCTCCGTCCGCGCGCCCAGGGCGCGCCGCACCGCGTGCCAACCCGGGTTACCCCCGCAGGGCCAGTTGGGAGAGCAGCGACCAAAGCCCCACGCCCCTAAGTTGCCCGCAGGGGGTGAGCCAGGCCGCGAGGGGCGTGCACGTGCGCAAAGGGGGCGGGGCCCCGGCGCCCGCCCGGCAGTTCCCAGACCCCCGCCGGGGCCCCACGTGGGTGCTGCCCCGCCAGGGGGCGATCTTGGAGAGGCCACACCCTAGGGCACAGGAGCCAGTGAACGCGAGACGAGGGCGGGGCCTAGCGGTGAACCACGCCCCCAGGGGCGGAGTCAGGCCGGAGAGGTTTAAGTACACGGGGCGCTGGCTTCTTACTGCTGGACCGCAGGGCCGGACAATCCCTTAACGCGGGTGTGCCGGGCTGGGCTCACCGGGGCGGGGGCAACCCGGGCAGGGCGCTTCGCGCGGCCGCTACTCCATCATGCTCAAGCGCTGCGGTCGTCGCCTGCTGCTTGCATTGGCGGGCGCGCTGCTCGCC